ATAAGGACTTCCTGTTCCATGGCGAAGCGTTGAGGTTTGTCATACCGCCACGGACACGCCCCTCTCCGAAAACTCTAGATCTTCACAATATATCATCGCTAGAGCTTTCAGATAACACCACTCAATTTTGGTGTTGATACGATAAAATTTGTGGGAGGAGTTTATGATTCCGTAAATCATGTCATTTCCTGTGGCCAGCAGGTGGCGCTGTAACTGTATCTGGATATTGGCATGTAAACGTGTTCAGGTCAGGACTCTTATCAAGCGTGTGAATTTTGAGGCAGATCAGATAATGCATGCCTGAGTTATAACGACTTCCTGTTTTGTGGCGAATCGTCAAAGTTTGCGAGGCCGCCACGGACACGCCCATCGACGAAAACTCTAAAGCTTCGCAATTTAACATCGCCAAGGCCTTTAGATGACAAAACCCAATTTTGGTGTCGATCGGATAAAATCCCTAGGAGGAGTTCGTTAAAGTACAACGCCTGGAAATGGCAAAAACGCCACTTTTTCGCCGCAGGAAGTAAAAAATATCCGACTTCCTGTTGGGTTTGAGATATGGCTCCAAGAGACTTTTTTGTATGTTTTGGCATGTTTGAGGTGTATGCCAATTTTCGTGCATGTGCGTGATTCGTGGATCGGGGGCTCGTCCGTTTAATTTTTCTAGGTGGCGCTGTCGAGTCATTTTGCCACGCCCACTTCCGAAGCCCTTAACAAACGTAAATTTTCGCCACTTCTGAGGCGTGTGCAAAGTTGCGTGAGTTTTCGGGCATGTTTAGCCCCTCAAAATCGCGATTCATTCCGGAGGAGAATAATAATAATAATAACTAGAATTGTACATTTCCTAAAGGAAATGTGAATGGGGTTTGCGTGGCAAATCGATGGGGTACAAAATGGTACTAAACTGGGCAAAATAGCAGTAAATGCGGAGAAATGGTTAAATTCATGTGTTTATGTGGTTGCTAGGGTAATGCAAATAGTTGTTAGGGGGCTTAAAGTGGTTGCTAGGGAGTGTCTACAAATTTGTTATGTCAGTACTTAATACCAACTTGATAGGCCAAGTAAAATGAGCCCAGTCTCAAGCTTCTACGACTTACTAATCTCCATATCAATGTCAGCCATTTTGTGTCCATGTTAAGTCTATAGGGATTTTTGGTTGTCAGCCATTTTATTTATAAATGTAAAATAAGCCATTGAATTAAAGATGTCATCACCCTTCAAAAGTCATACCTGTCCTCAAGCCGTTGTGGCTCTGCATCCATGGTTCAATAACAAATGGTTGTGTCTAGGATAACCACAATACTGGTAAAGTAGCAACATTGTTTCGCTTCACATATTGTACTTCAACATGGGTCCAAATTTGTTTAACCACTTGCATCTTACAATCATCTGTGTATCAGATGCAATTGCAAAACTGTTATGTTTAAAAATAAATCATACCATCACCTAAAACCTTAATACTTACATCATAGCACAGGTTAAAGCACATTTAGGTAGACTGTGCTTAATCTAACATATGCAATTAGCATTTGTAGTACTGAATACTTGCTTCTTAAAGTCAATAGTGATGTAGCATTGACAGACATTCAATAAAAGACAAAACAAGCTGACTGTGCCAATTAAACCAAATTGTTTATTAAATTGATTAAAAAAAAGCCTGTTGTGCCAAATCCTGTCCACCAGTCTGATCCCAGTCACACCTACTAAAATGTTAGAATAATGAATTAAGCAATAGAGCAATAATAAAGTCTACCTAATGACTGTTTAATTCCAATATGGATGTTTTTCTTAAACACATCATTGTAAATTATACTAATTTTTATACTATAATATATTATATTAATTATATATTATAATAAATTATATAATATTATATATATATATGTGCATTTAAAATGGTTGATTTTAATTTAAAACCTCATTCAGTGCACTATCACATACTGTGTACAGTGGCAGAGTTAAATTTATAAATAAATCTGCAGTTCAACCACCCTGCTAAACATAGTTTAATTAAAAATAATAAAATGACATGATTATTTGCTATAAATTGGTGCTGGGAATGTTTATTTAATAAAGACCATGCCAGCTATAAACACAAAAGTTTTGTTGTTATTATTATTATTAATTAATTAATATTAAAGTGCCCTAAGAAACTGATCTAAATGCTAATGGGTTTTATTATTTTTTTACGTTGTTTAAAGTAAAAATGTACTTTGGCCATATGTGATGATAATCAATTTTTACCTGACCTACTGTCCCTTTCTGCAAATAATTTGCGGCTCTAATCTGAGAAAAAAAAAAGTTACATTGATTTATAACAATTAATAGTTTATGGTGCAAACATTTTACTCATTAGTATTTATTAATGGCAAATATATTCAAACCTAAGCTGCATATAAATATCCTAAATTGTGATGATATGATTGACTAAGCTTTATTTGTACTCTTAAGCCTATTTTTACTTGTTTTAAATTAATTTTAAGCTCCTTTTTATTAACATTTGTATGGCTAAATTACTATGGAATCTAAGTTTAAAGATAAAGGACACGAGGGGAAGACAGGACTTGGCACAACACCCCCTGTGAGCAAGCCATTGGCGACTGTGGCAAGGAAAAAAACTCCAAAAAGTTTGGAGAGAAACCTTGGAAAGACCAGACTCAGCAAGGGAGTACCCATCTTTCTTGGGCGTGGCACATAACATAACATTTTTTAAATGTATAAGCTAATAACATTTTTAAACAACGTTAAAATTATCTAAAATGTTGCAGGACACCGTCTTCCACCATCTGGCCTCTGGATCTGGCATGCACAGACTGTATATCCTGAGGAAGAGGAGGCAAAACAGATGTGACAAAATTATTAGTAAAAAAAATATATTTTGATTGTTTGGATACTTCAGGAACAAAGAGAAAATGAGAATCACGGTTTACTTTAAAATCTAAGGTTTTACAAAGCCCATACTTCTTAAAGACAAAGCACAAGTTATGACAAGATGCACTGAACCACAAGACTCTCCTAGAAGTACTAATAAAGTATACCTCTGGTCCGTCATCCTGCAATTCTGTGGTGTGCAATGCCAAACACCTGTTCTTCTCCTGTAACCATAAGATTAATAAATCAATAATAAGAACACTATATACACAAGCACCATTAAAAAACAGCCATTAACATTCATAGTGGATGCAAAAAATACAAAGAAAGTCAATGCTGTTTTTCCACAACATTAAAGATTTTTTTTGCATTCTCAAGCATTTCGAGTTCAAGAAGCAAGCAACTCAGACATATTTGAAACGAGTAGATTATCTGTAAATGACAACTTAAAAGTTTAGGTGAATAAACACCTTAATAATGCCTCAAAGTTTATGCAGCTTAATTTGTGGAAATATTTTGTAAAAGTTTCCTTTTAGAGAGAGCTTAAACAATATTGCAAATATAATTTTTTTTAATGGCATAACTCACTTGTTTCAGAATACCTCTGTATTAGAGATGTTCTTCCTCTGGTCCATCATTCTGCAATGCCGTAGTGCGCATACACCTGGTCTTCTCCTACAACCATGAGATTGATGAATCAATAATAAGAACACTATATACACAAGCACTAGTTAGAACAGCCATTAACAATAATAGTGATGCAAAGAAAATACAAAGAAAGTCAATAGCTTTTTTTCCATAACTTTTAAGATTTTAAAAGCTTTTTATTTATTTTATTTTTCAAGTATTTTGAGTTCAAGAATCAAGCAACTCCAGTAAATGATAATTTAAATGTTTAGGTGAATAACCTCCTTAATAATGTCTCTTAGTTTATGCAGCTTAACTTGTGGAAATATTTATTTTTTACATTTCTTTTTGTAGGAAGCTTAAACAATATTTAAAATAGAATCTTTTGTAACATGACAACTGGTTTGTTTTATAATTTCAATACATATTAGTACACATACACACTACAATTAAATGGCGTGATCCTAACAGCATGCTCACCAATATATAGTTAGGCAGATGTCTTCCTCAACAATACTGCAGGACATTTGTTTTCTCAGTCAACACATCTTCTTGGGTCTTCTGGTAGTAAAAACATAAAAAAAACACAACACTTGAATGAGACTAAGATTTAACATTATGCTGAAAATGTGACTGTATTACAAGGCAGTACAAACAACTGAAACAAAATACTTAGCTTTAGATTGAATCTCAAAGAATTCTGTCCACTTTGAAAAGGCTGCTGTTGTGTTAAAGCTGTGCCTGTAACAAATTAATAATATAACAGAAAATGTAAGTCATACATTCATTCATTTTTTCGGCTTTATTAATCTGGGGCTACGACTGCAGAATGAACCGCCAACTTATCCAGCACGTTTTTATGCAGCGGATGCCATTCCAGCCGCAACCCATCTCTGGGAAATATCTGAACATACTTTTTTACTCACACACACACACACACACACACACACACACACACACACACACACACACACACACACACACACTAAGGCCAATTTAATCTATACCAATTCACCTGTTCCGCGTGTCTTTAGACTGTTGAAGAAGTCGAAGCAACCGGAGGAAACCCACTCGAACGCAGGGAGAACATGCAAACTCCACATAGAAACACCAACTGACCCAGCCGAGGCTCGAACCAGCGTTGCCACTGCAAGTCATAAATTCAGAACAAAATGTCAAACACAAATACAAAGGAAAAACATAAAATAATTCATTTATTCATGCATTTTATTGTCGGCTTAGTCTCTTTATTAATCCGGGGTCGCCACAGAAGAATGAACCACCAACTTATCCAGCCCATTTTTACACAGCGGACGACCTTCCAGCCGCAACTCATCTCTGGGAAACATCTGGACATTCTTATTCACACACATGCACACACACACACAAAGGCCAATTTAACCTATACCAATTCACCTGTTCCGCGTGTCTTTGGACTGTGGGGGAAGTTGAAGCAACCGGAGGAAACCCACGCGAACGCAGGGAGAACATGCAAACTCCACACAGAAACACCAACTGACTCAGCTGAGGCTCGAACCAGCGTTGCCACTGCAAGTCATAAATTCAGAACAAAATGTCAAACACAAATACAAAGGAAAAACATAAAATAATGGAACATTTAAAAAGCCACTGTACTACTCACCAACTGTTGCTGCTGTCACTGCCCTTTGTAAACTTTGAAGATGCCACAATATCCTCCTGATGTCCCTTGCTGCTGACCCTACTCTACTCTCATCACACAGCATCCACCTCAGGTACGACACACCGCCTTCACGCAACTGTGCACACACCACCAAGTAAAAGACGAGTGGCTGATAATCAGGCTCTATCCAGGTCTTTTGTCTCCCGGTTCTGTGTGGCACACTGACTTCATGTCAAAGACGTAGGCCAATGTTCGTTTCTTTGTGGTGGCCATGGAGATGAGCTGTTTGTATAGTAGGGATTGGAACAACTCCAGAATGGGCTTTCTTCCAGACAAGAGGTGGTCTTTGGTGAAGTCTCCACAGACAATTATGGGATTCTCCATCATTTCCAAATAATTAAGTAGGCCCATGATGTTTGGTGATGGTGTTTTATGTCCTCTATATGTGATGGGAGTCCCTCTGCTTTATGATGCACAACGATAAGCTTTTCTTTCAGACTGTTGTTGGTTTTTTTCCAGTGAAAAAGTAGCATGATGCCTTCCAGCGTTGCCATTTTTTGTCCTCTCCAACGTGGTTGTGATTTTTGACAGCCGATTGCATGGTCATGCCTTGAACTTTGTGAGTGGTGCATGCGTAAGCCATCTTGATTGGAAATAGTTGACAGACTGCTTCTTTTTTAAGAGTTTCCTCTGATCTTTTGATGTAAAGTGTCCTCTTCACCTTGCAGTTGTTGTCGTATGTATTTCTGGCCAGCATTTGGATTGTCGACTGATTTCCAAGCATGTGCACAAATGCAAGTCTGTATTTTGTTTTGGTCACAATGTTTCCAAAGCATCCATTGACAAGTCCATCTTTGACATCCACATTTTTGATCAACATTATGCAGACTCCCAATCAATGCAACTTGTATGGTGCCTAGCAGGTTGTCTTTTTTTACCCATGACAGGGTTAGTTTGCTTTTTCATCCATCCTGTTCTTGCATCTTGCACACAGAAACACCAACTGACCCAGCTGAGGCTCGAACCAGCATCGCCACTGCAAGTCATAAATTCAGTACAAAATGTCAAACACAAATACAAAGGAAAAACATAAAATAATGGAACATTCAAAAAGCCACTGTACTACTCACCAACTGTTGCTGCTGTCACTGCCCTTTGTAAACTTTGAAGATGCCACAATATCCTCCTGATGTCCCTTGCTGCTGACCCTACTCTACTCTCATCACACAGCATCCACCTCAGGTACGACACACCGCCTTCACGCAACTGTGCACACACCACCAAGTAAAAGACGAGTGGCTGATAATCAGGCTCTATCCAGGTCTTTTGTCTCCCGGTTCTGTGTGGCACACTGACTTCATGTCAAAGACGTAGGCCAGTGTTCGTTTCTTTGTGGTGGCCATGGAGATGAGCTGTTTGTATAGTGGGGATTGGAACAACTCCAGAATGGGCTTTCTTCCAGACAAGAGGTGGTCTTTGGTGAAGTCTCCACAGACAAATATGGGATTCTCCATCATTTCCAAATAATTAAGTAGGCCCCTGATGTTTGGTGATGGTGTTTTATGTCCTCTATATGTGATGGGAGTTCCTCTGCTTTATGATGCACAACGATAAGCTTTTCTTTCAGACTGTTGTTGGTTTTTTTTCCAGTGAAAAAGTAGCATGATGCCTTCCAGCGTTGCCATTTTTTGTCCTCTCCAACGCGGTTGTGATTTTTGACAGCCGATTGCATGGTCATGCCTTGAACTTTGTGAGTGGTGCATGCGTAAGCCATCTTGATTGGAAATTGTTGACAGACTGCTTCTTTCTTAAGAGTTTCCTCTGATCTTTTGATGTAAAGTGTCCTCTTCACCTTGCAGTTGTTGTCGTATGTATTTCTGGCCAGCATTTGGATTGTCGACTGATTTCCAAGCATGTGCACAAATGCAAGTCTGTATTTTGTTTTGGTCACAATGTTTCCAATGTTTCCAAAGCATCCATTGACAAGTCCATCTTTGACATCCACATTTTTGATCAACATTATGCAGACTCCCTATCAATGCAACTTGTATGGTGCCTAGCAGGTTGTCTTTTTTTACCCATGACAGGGTTAGTTTGCTTTTTCATCCATCCTGTTCTTGCATCTTGCACACAGAAACACCAACTGACCCAGCTGAGGCTCGAACCAGCATCGCCACTGCAAGTCATAAATTCAGTACAAAATGTCAAACACAAATACAAAGGAAACACACAAAATAATGGAACCTTTAAAAAGCCACTGTACTACTCACCAACTGTTGCTGCTGTCACTGCCCTTTGTAAACTTTGAAGATGCCACAATATCAACATTATGCAGACTCCCAATCAATGCAACTTGTATGGTGCCTAGCAGGTTGTCTTTTTTACCCATGACAGGGTTAGTTTGCCTTTTCATCCATCCTGTTCTTGCATCTTCCACACAGAAACACCAACTGACCCAGCTGAGGCTCGAACCAGCATCGCCACTGCAAGTCAAATTCAGTACAAAATGTCAAACACAAATACAAAGGAAAAACATAAAATAATGGAACATTTAAAAAGCCACTGTACTACTCACCAACTGTTGCTGCTGTCACTGCCCTTTGTAAACTTTGAAGATGCCACAATATCCTCCTGATGTCCCTTGCTGCTGACCCTACTCTACTCTCATCACACAGCATCCACCTCAGGTACGACACACCGCCTTCACGCAACTGTGCACACACCACCAAGTAAAAGACGAGTGGCTGATAATCAGGCTCTATCCAGGTCTTTTGTCTCCCGGTTCTGTGTGGCACACTGACTTCATGTCAAAGACGTAGGCCAATGTTCGTTTCTTTGTGGTGGCCATGGAGATGAGCTGTTTGTATAGTAGGGATTGGAACAACTCCAGAATGGGCTTTCTTCCAGACAAGAGGTGGTCTTTGGTGAAGTCTCCACAGACAATTATGGGATTCTCCATCATTTCCAAATAATTAAGTAGGCCCCTGATGTTTGGTGATGGTGTTTTATGTCCTCTATATGTGATGGGAGTTCCTCTGCTTTATGATGCACAACGATAAGCTTTTCTTTCAGACTGTTGTTGGTTTTTTCCAGTCAAAAAGTAGCATGATGCCTTCCAGCGTTGCCATTTTTTGTCCTCTCCAACGCGGTTGTGATTTTTGACAGCCGATTGCATGGCCATGCCTTGAACTTTGTGCATGTGTTAGCCATCTTGATTAGAAATTGTTGACGAACTGCTCCTTTCTTTAGAGTTTCCTCTGCTCTTTCGATGTAGAGTTAAGTGTCCTCTTCACCTTGCAGTTGCGTATGTATTTTTGGCCAGCATTTGGATTGTTGGCTGAATTATTTAGGCAAAACACAATACACTGGATTGTGATAGCTATAGTAGGTGTGTAAAACACCTGACTGCATGCACAAGTCTGGATGAGAAACATAAATATGATCCAACAGTGTTTGTTTCTCTGTGGTTGCATTGGTGATGAGCTGTTGGTATTGTTGGGATTGGAACAACTCCAGAATGGGCTTTCTTCCAGACGAGAGGTGGTCTTCGTTGAAGTCTCCACAGACAATTATGGGATTCTCCTTCATCATTTCCAAATAATCAAGAAGGCCCCTGATGTTTGGCAAAAATTTTTCCAGACTATAGTCTGGTGGCCTGTACACCGCAGCAATTGTTGCAGTCACTGGTGCATCAACTTTGATGACGACAAACTCCAGGTCGGTGACGTGGTGTATAAAGTGTCGAGGTTCCGCCTGAATGTCCTCTTTGCAATAAATTGCAACTCCACCACAGTCCTTCTTTGCCATTTCTGGAAGGGTTGAGTAAGACGCATGTCTATTTCTTGCAAACATCTTAAAGCCTTCCAACTGGACATGTGATGAGATGCATGATCCGGAGAGGTGCGTTTCCGTAACACAAAAGATATCACATAGAAGCAGCTCATGATGGTGTTTGATGTCTTCTATATGTGATTGGAGTCCCTCTGTGTTATGATGCACAACAATTAGTTTTTCTACCAGACTGGTGTTGGTTTTCTTCCAGTCAAAAAGTGGCATGATGCCTTCCAGCGTTGCCGTTTTCATCCTCTCCAACGAGGTTGTGATTTCCGGATCAGCATAGATCTTTTTTTCATCAAAGTCTCTGATGTACAACCCACCAAGTGAGGTTGTTCGGCTGAGGGCAACATAGGCCATTCCTGGCTCAAAAATCCTCTTTAGTGATACTACAGCCGATTGCATGGTCATGCCTTGAACTTTGTGAGCAGTGCATGCGTAGGCCAACTTGATTGGAAATTGTCGACGGACTGCTCTTTTCTTTACAGGTTCCTCAGATCTTTCAATGTAGACTAAAGTGTCCTGATCACCTTGCAGTCGTCGTCTGTATTTCTGGCCAGCATTTGGATTGTCGGGCTGAATGCCAAGCATGTGCACAAATGCAATTCCGTCTCTTGTTTTAGTCACAATGTTTCCAATGTTCCCAAAGCATCCATTGACGAGTCCATCTTCGACATCCAGATTCCTTATCATCATTATGCGGACTCCCACTGCAACTTGTATGGTGTCAAGCAGGTCGTCTTTATTACCCATGACAGGTTTAGTCTGTCTTTTCATCCCACCTGTTCTTGGGTCTTTCCGGTAATCTTCAGCATGAATGGTTATGATGTCAGCATGAAGAGCATTTACCGTGTTACTATTGTGACTGTGGACTTCCTTGTTGGTTGCAAATATGTGCAATGCATCACGTGGGCAGTCTTGGGGATTCCTCACAGCTTGCAATAACAAAGCTCTATCTTCTTCTTTAAGAGCATCAGATTTCCGTTTCACTCTCAATCGGTTTAAAAGCTGGGCAAATGCAAGGTCCTCTTTCTGCCGCATGATCTCTGTGAGGGTTACGATTTGGAAGTGGTCCTTCCAAAAGTCCAGCACATCCTCTTCGTAAACACAGAGTGGCTTGGCTTTTCCCGGGGGCGGTAATTGATAAAAGTCTCCCACCACGATGACAGAAATGCCCCCAAATGGTTTCTTGCTGCCTCTGATCTGTTGAAACCTCCAGTTGATGTATGCAAAAAAGTCTTTTGAAATCATAGAGATTTCGTCAATAATCAGGATTTCCACGTGACGTAATCCTGCTCGTACATCATCAAGAGAGTTCCCAAGTCCTTGATAGGGTGGCTTCAAGTTCCTTGGCAGCTTTAGAATGGAATGCAGAGTTTTTCCAGAAATGTTAAACGCTGCTGTTCCAGTGAATGCACTTAAAATCACTGTAGGAATGGAGAGATCCCCATCCTCCCGGAGCTGAGGAAGTTGTTGCAGAATCTTCGTTGCTTCAGTGTATACGCACTTGATTACGTGCGACTTTCCACATCCAGCACCACCTGACACGAAGTAAAAAAACTGTTCTGGATTCAGTCCCCACACACGGTTCTGACACCACCGCCGAATGGTGTAAAATATGGCTGCCTGTGTCTTGTTTAAACTCCTAAAGAGCTTCCTGACAAACTCGACACTCATCTGTGGCGCCACTATGCGCGGTGCAACTCCGTCGCCATCTTCATTACGAGGCTGGAATTCAGGGACCTCATCCTGTTCGTCATCTTCCTCTGGACCGACGTCTTCTTGTTCAGCTATGCATTCCAGGCGATCCACTTCAACTTCTGGTGCAAAAGCTGTCCAAGCACTCTCAGATGGTCCTTCCTGCTGAAGTTGTTCAAATGCTTTATCTACAACTTTGCCATGCTTTTCATATCTCTGCTGGTATGCCTTTACTATGCCGCAGACAGGGAACCGGAGACCAGGATGTCCAGGAAGTTCCACAAATCCGCTTTTATAAAATAGCTGATATGTGGGAAAATCCTCAGGTTTTAGCTCTTCATTGTGGCGATGGGGAACGTAAAGTTTCACCATTCTTCCATAAAATTTTTCTGGTTGCTTCTCCTCTGAAAAGCGAGCATATCTGATAACTGCAGGCTTGCCGATAGTCCTCTTTTGAATAAATCCCATATCGTGAAGCAGTCGGAGGACATTTTTTCCTTTAATTTGTTGACCGTACACAACACGGTAATTGGATGCAAAGTCTGCAAGACACATTTTTTCAAACTCCAACGTTAGAGGTCTTGCTCTATATTTTTCTATTAAACCTGACATCCAGACGTCCTCCGATTCAGGATTTTTGTTCAGCAACACACTTATGGGCAGACTCATCTTGAGGGCATCGTCATCCGTCGGAACAAACACGACACTTCGTGAACACTTCTTCAACGGCAAGCTGCATGTTCGCGCCACAGACTCCTGAGCACTTACTTGCCGGTGCTTGGCATAGGCTTGCATTATGTGCTTCATTTCATCCTCTTCATTAACGTTGGCTTCACGAACACTTTGGATAACGTTCTTAAGAAAGCCACTCATTTCATGCTCCGGCTTTGAAACGTAGGACAGCATATACATGATGCAGCTGTAAGCGTCTAGGATGTACTGAATATCCATGTTCGCATTCCACGCCCTGAGCAAATCAGGATTGTAGCCATTCACCCAAGTCTCCTTTGGATCACGCTTCAAAAGAACTGCACTGCCAGTGGTGAGTCCTTCAGCATAGTTCAGGTAATCGTCCATGGACAAATTGCACTTGGTTAGAAGGTCTGACAAATTGTTGAAGGAAGATTTGGGATCATTCAGCAAATCCCACAAAGGCTTGAGTTTTGATTTGGCTTCATTCATTGCTTTTTTAGCCTCATCTCGCCTTGCTTTTTTCTTGGCTGCTGAGTCAGTCGGTTCATCATCCCCCTCATCAGGACGCTCTGGCATCGGATGAGTGATCATGGTCTTAGGCATTGGTAGTTTTGGAAATCCAAATCTACACACCACCTTGCCTTTCTTGCATGACTTTGAGTGGTTTTTGCTATGAAGCTGAACCTCTGTCACAATCTTATGAAGCTCAGGATCAACATTGGGATCTGGAAGCTTGCAAGATACGTAACGGTCGATGAAGTCACATATTGTCTCATCATTGTCTTCCTCTGGATCTGGGGCATCCTTTACCCAAGCAAGCAGATGAATATGTGGGCTTCCTCTTGCCTGAAACTCCACTCTATAAAAGAAATCCTCCACTTCACCAATGGGTTGTGCAGGTGACAAAAGCAGGTGAGCCATTAATGCATCTACACGCTTCTCAAACATGCGCATGACAGTGACAGGATTACTCCTAAGGATTTCACATTTTGTCGCCCAGTCAAGCTGTGAAAAGTCAATTTCTTCGCCTTGTTGAGCTTTGATTACAGTCACAATCTCAGGCCATCGCATTTCTGCTGCACTGAATGTACAAAAGAAAGTAGGTGTCCCCAGCTGTCGAATCATGGCCTGTAGATCTCGCAACGTCTTCTCCCAATAGGCTGGAGAGCCTCTCAGGGGCTGCATGAATCGTGTGGCATCCCTGTTGTGAACAAGTCTCTCAACCTCATCGGAATCCTGAAGCATCCTATTGGAGATTCTTCGGCCATCTTTAGTAATGGGTTTACCTTTTCGAAGTTGAATGGACATGCTGTTTCTTGCCAGTTGCGTTTCTGTCACAAATTGTGCAAAGAAAAGGTAGCTTTGATCCCTTGCAAATCGGGCATCAACACAAAACAATCTGACGTTGAAGTACATGCTAGGAGAAACTGCTGTCTGCCTTGCCTCGTCGATTGTGTTCTCTCCTGTGGGGAACTGGACAGGGAATGCCATGGCTTCCAGTTTTGGGATTTTAAAAAATCCAACAGGCTTCTTTCCTTGTGCAGGTGCGATACTAAAGATCCCTTCACCGTACGACAAGATGTCATGTGCAATGTCTGGTGGCTGCATGCACGTGTCCAATGTAAGACCGGGGCGAAGTTCATCCTTTTCCTCCACACTGACATGTTGCTCCTCGTGCTCAGCAGTGCCAACTTCTTGGTTATCCTCTGCTGCATCAATGTCTTCGTCAAACTGATCTTCAGATACCTCAGGCTCTTGTATGGAGATATCCTTGTACTCAGAATGCACTTCCTTCAGCTTGGATAAAGCTGCCAGTACGCTGTGCATATTTACAGTATGGAAGTGCTGGTATCCTTTAAAACTGACATGTCTCTTTAGCTTGACTTGTAGGAGCTGGGACTCGCTTCTTGGTCTTGGCAGAGAGTTGACAGTGTTCTCCACCTCCGAAGGCACACACACAACAGCACCGTGAACTGCTCTCTGTTGTCCTTTGGGCAGTGCAACTATTTTTGCGAAAGGTAAAATTTTTGCAATAAGCTGACGTTCCAGCACATTTAGCTCAGCCAATTCTGCAGGGATAGGTGGCAGTTCAAGCTTGTTTACTGCTGCAATTGAAGGCATGCGTCCTCTTTTCAGATGGCTGTCACATGTGTGGCAGATCCATTCACGTCTTCTCTCTTCTGGAACGGTGCAATCATCTGAGCAGACACTGTCGCAAGTATGCACATACTTCCTTGTCAAGCAAAATGATGAAAGTTGAACATCTTTTTCATAATTCGATCCATCACAGGCCTTGACTTGGTCTGGAAAGAGGACTCTGTGGCAGACTGTGCAGACGTATGTAGGACCTTGCTGGATTTTAGACCGGAATGCATGAATTGCACTTTCCATCACTTTACTGACCAAAGGCTGGGGTGTTTCCAAGCTGGAGCGGATGCACATCTTGTATTTCCTTTTAATCCTCAGTGCACATTGCAACTGATGAATACGTGTAGTGTTATTAGGAAGCTTCTGTTTCTTATGGAGGGTACATTGGAGAATGTGATGTGCTCTGAACTCAGAATCATTTCCATATCTCCTCATCATGTATTCCTTCATTTTTTTCTGGAAAGCAGTATCAGTACTGTACCTGCTGACCATGTGTGCTCTTTTTTTTGCCTGGAAGATGGTGTCGTAACTGTACCTCCTAGTCATGTATTCTTTCTTCTTTGACTTTACAACTGGATCTGTGGTATACCTCTTAGCCATGTATTCCTTCTTCTTTGACTGTACAACTGGATCTGTGGTATACCTCCTAGCCATGTATTCTTTCTTCTTTGACAGAACAATCTCATCTTTGTACCGTCTATTACTGCAGTCTTTCTTTTTGTTTCTAAAATGAGCATCCTGGCTGTACTTTTCCCTAACAGCTTCTTTTTTGTTTGTCCGAAACTGTAAACAGGCGGCATACCGGTCCCTTTCATTATCTCTTTGTTTGTGTTTTTTCATTGCATAGGATGCAGTGGTGTTCTTGGATTTTCTAGATTTGAATTTTTCAGTTGTTTTTCGCATTTCTCTTCTTCTTCTGGACTTATTTTTTTTGGACATCATGGCTTTGTTTTCTTGGGCTATACCATTTTGGACGTCAATATTTTCTTCTGGTTCAGGTAGAACTGAAATTACTTGTGAAAATTGAGCACAAGTTGAGAGTAAAGGCTGTTGGCCAGCCTGTTGCTCTGTTTCAAAAGAGACCGGCATGAATTCATAGTTTTCATTATCAGGGCATTTCCCAAAAAGCTGCAGAATTTGGTCAGTCATGTCACTTAGTAGGGGAAAAGTTAACATCACAGCAGTTCCACAACCAGTACAATCAGGTAATCCTTTTGCAGTCCTTGAATGTGGATCAAAGAATCCATATCTGCCTGATCCATCTCTAAACACTGCAATACATTGTCGAGAAACTATTAAAAGTGCGTGAGTGACATCTGCTGTGAGACACTGCAGTCTTTTGGCAAGAGGCAAAAACCAATTTTCCATATCAGGGGCACTTCTGGCTCGAAGAAATCCAAGTTTGACTTCAGACTTGTGGACATTGTATGTTTGGTTAAATGTTGTAAGTTTAGAAGGTACTTCCTCCATAGATAGATGGTTCTGACGGAATCTTCTTTCAGCGATAAGCTGCATTTTAGTGCTGACATACAAAGCATCCCCCTCCTCTAAAACTCTATCAAGATCGGATATCTTAAACTGAAGCCCTGCACTCTGACTGGCCAAGAATGTCAGTGATACACATGTGCACTGGTGATTTCTGGAGAACTCGTCATATCTAACATCATCCTGACAATGAGACGCTTGCACTGACACAAATGTGGTTGCATTGCCACAACTTTCTGCATGTTGGCTCACAGAAAAGGAATTGACAGCAGCACTGGTACTGGCCTGTTCAACCTGTAAAAATAATGTAATATAAAAACTGCTAGTCAAGTTTGTATTTTTACAATCAGTGAGAAAATGTGAAGAACACTGTTGAACTTCTAGCAAAATATCAATATGTAATATTATAACAATAATAAATAATAATACATAAAATAATATAATAATAAATGAATATATTTAATTATAATGTAGGGCCGGGCAATTTTTACAGTTAATTCGAAATTACATTTTAAGACGATAAATTGTTTTATTAAATCGAGGTATCGCAATTTTTTCTGTATAAAAATATTGGATACATTGTAATTTCACCAAAGCGCTTTGGTTCACTCTCTGTATACTCTGCCTGACTGCCTGTCTGGGTTTCAATCATGGTAGTGACGGACTGAACACAGAGACTGGACAGCCTATTATCACCCAATGCACGAAGTACAATAAATAAATAATTTTATATTAGACGCACATCTGGCTTTACAGTTTCCATGTTCAGTCTTTTACTTCCACTTTAAGAAATAAGCAGCAGCATTACAACCTGTCATTCAATCAGAAGACAAAGTGAAAGCAGAGCTAAAAGCCAGTCTTTCCTAGGCTTAGCTAAACTTGCAAAAAATAACTGCAATTTTGTAATATTCCTAATCCCATTTTTAAAATAAAAAAGCTAATTATTTTATCATTACATTTATAGGTGACTGCTTTAACTCTACAAATTAGATATACAGTCAGTTTTCAGTAGTACCTCTTTAATGCTGGAAATGGTGGTTTCTACATCTTGAAGGTCTACCTTTCTCCAGCGCAATTTCTGAGCCTGAGATCTCTTCCCTTTTCGTGGCATCCTTTAACAAAAAAGTTAAAAATAAAACACAAGTCTAAAAGAAACAAATACACATATATATGTTAGTGGTGTAATGGGTCACAAATCTCACAGCTCAGATCACACTTCAATTTCTGAGTCACAGATCGGACCATTTTTCAGATCAACAAAAAACAAATTACATTTGCTTCCTTTTTTTGTTTATGTAGGGGGAAAACAGACCATTAATTCGCAGGAGAAAGAACATACCCCTTAACTGTTTCTCTGGGTTTACAATTAGGCCTATAGTTATGCATTTCAGTAAACCAATTCTTGTTTCACTCTAAACTACTTTTACACTTTTTTGTATTTCCAGACATGTCAGTACTTATATTTTCACAATAACAAATGCTTTTTAAAAGATTTAAGGAATAAATAATCCGTGGAATAACACTTTTCAGACACACCAAACTAAAATTCTTTACATGTGTGGAAAATAAACTTAATTAAATGTACAGAAAAGGTGTTACATCAAAGTACTTTTTAGGATATGAGGTGACTTTTGCCACAATACGAGACATTTAGAAAAGCAAACTAAACATTTTTTCTTTGGCACATACTTTAAAACTTCCCCCGATGAAAGCACTGCAGAACCTGACAAGATGAAAACCAGTAGTATCTGAAGAATCCGGAATATCTGACGAGTCTCTCTGAAAAAGGGACAAAAAAAAAAATAACATTAATGAAAATTAATGTCAACTATGCATTACCTTCTTTCCATGTTACACATCATCACTTATCAATAATATGCTTAATCTGTATATAAAATAAATAGTTAGGGATACATCAAAAGCATTTATCTATTTTTTAAAGGAGCCAATTTGCGACAAATATACTATCAGAGTCATTTGCAAAAGATTCTCGGAAAAGTGATGTATGGGGGAAAACAGGAAGAAGAACAGACACCTTAACTGGTGCTCTGGGTTTACAATTTAGACCTATAGTTATGCATTTCAGTAAACCAATTTCAGTAACCTTTTTTTTTGTATTTCCAGGCAAGTCTGTACTTATTTTTACAAAAAAAAAAAAAAAAAAAAAAAAAAAAAATCAATATTCCGTGGAATAACACTTTTCAGACACACCAAACTAAAATTATTTACATGTTGAAAATAAACTAAATTAAATGTACAGAAATGATGTTACATCAAAGTACTTTTTAGGATATGAGGTGACTTTTGCCACATTACGAGACATTTAGAAAGCAAACTAAATGTTTTTTTCTTTGGCACATACTTTAAAACTTCCCCCGATGTAAGCACTGCAGAACTTGAGAAAATGAAACCTGTAGTATCTGGAAGAAAACAGAGGTTAGCAACTATAGAAGACAGTACAGTGTGTAATTTAATTTATTTTTTTTTTTTAAACAAACAAAAAAAAAAAAAGTTAAGGAAAAAAAAATGCAGAAAAAAAAAAGAAAATATAAATTACAAAATTCTAAGTTTATTAAAACAAAAGAAACGTAATCCCTGTAAATATGGAGAGCACTGAAAAATAAAACAACAGAAGTAGTTGTTTTATTTTTCACAAGAAACCTGAAAAATAAAGAAAATAGAACAAATTAGGTCAAAGCAACAACTATTGTTTTCTCAATTTTTGAAATAAAAATGTTATCCAACACTCACCAAGATGCAAAGTGCAGTGAAGAATCTGGAATATCTGGTGAGTCTCTCTGAAAAAGGGACAAAAATAACTTTAATGAAAATTAATGTCAACTATGCATTACCTTCTCTCCATGTTAAACATCACTTATCAATAACATAGTTAATCTGTGAATAAAATAAATTGTTAGGGATATATCAAAAGCATGTATCTATTTTTTAAAGGAGTCAATTTGCGACAAACATACTATCAGAGTCATTTGCAAAAGATTCTCGGAAAAGTGATGTAGGGGGAAAACAGACCCCTTAACTGTTTCTCTGGCTTTACAATTTAGACCTGTAGTTATGCATTTCAGTAAACCAATTCTTGTTTTTTTTTTCAAGACATGTTTGTACTGGATTTTACACAATACAAATGTTTTTTTTTTTTTTGTTTGTTTGTTTGTTTAAGAAATCGATATTCCATGGAATAACACTTTTCAGACACACCAAAAAAAAAAAAAAAAAAAAAAAAAGTGTTACTCAGACCAACTGTACTTTACTTTCCTTGAAAAAAAAAAAAGTTAAAATAGAATAATTTATAAGGGATAATTCCCCCCAAAATAAACAATTGACTCACTTTTATGCATTTACTAACAATGAAGTGGTTACAAACCTTTATGACTAACTTTATTCTGTTGAATACTAAAGATATTTTGGAGGGAAAAAAAGCAAAAATCGGAGCAACACTAGACTTCCATAGTACATAGGAAAAATAAATACTATGGAAGTAAATGGTTACAGGTTCCCAGCTTTCTTGAAAGTATTTTTTTGCTCAACAGAAGAATGTATGAAACACATAAAGGGTGAGTAAATGACAGAACTTTCAGTTTTGAGTGAACCATCCCTTTAACTCAAGCCCATAACTAACAAATCTGGAGAAACAGGATGTTTGCTCACTTAATTTCCCCCCTTATAGTAGTGGTCTGATAAATGTATGAAATTAATGTTATCTTAAAAACTGATTACATTCCAAAAAGTGAGTTTAACTGCTGCAAAAAGCCAGAATTATTATTATTATTAATTATTATAGAATTAATTATTCAATCATTACCTGACACAGGATGGATAGGCTGGTGAAAGTTCTAAAAAGATAAAAGTAGAAACAATCATGTCGCATAAAAAGCACATTTGTACTAGGGAAATGACTATTGTATTTTAATGTCAATTACATAAATTCTATCTGCAATATTAAATAAACATGTATAAAACCTGTACATTTAGATTGTGTAACATTTTTTATATTGATTTCACGACATTCGCAGTGCACTTTCAATGCTTTCTATACACAATTTTAGATTTTACTTCCCAGCACAAAAATTCTAGCAAAAGAATGTATAGTTTATACATTTACATGTCATTTGTTCGTTTATTTTACCTGCTGAAAGAAAACACTGTTCTTGAAACAAGGCTAACCTACATGCACAGGACAAGAGCATTTACAACAAATAAACTAATGTAATAAATATAATTTCGCTTGCTTTTTTAGCGCTGTCGAATAAGTTCTTAAACACCTATAATCGGTCATTATGTTCCCACACGCAACAGAAAGGGCTGCGATTCTTCTCGACTGCGGTTACCGCGGCTCGAGTTATTCATCGGAGTGACGGTGATACGGACAAACGGCCACGGTTAAAGTCTTAAATGCGCGGATATCACAGCTGATTCATGATAAACGCGGTAAAGAAAACTCCAGCTGCAGGGTAACATGCTCATGTGTGTCTAACCACAAGACTCACTGTAATAGCCGAGAGGACACGTTACCTTAAGCAAGCAGGTCAAATGTCTAACACACACACACACACACACACACACACACACACACACACACACACCGTCTCGCTCTCAGCTTCAGTACAGCCGCGGGCCGCGGGAATGCAGACCTGTAGCTCACAGCTCTCATTTCATGTCCATATCAGTGAAATACAGGCTCGTGGGTTCTGCTGTAACGGTCAGCTGCTGATTAAGTACGTTGACGATAGTTAGTAGCATGTTTTAATGGGCCGCCCTCGCCACAGTAACGTTATTTATCGAAATAATCGCAGCTTTTGCGACTTGAATCGTAATTCTTCTAATCGCGACTTCAGTTTAAAATTTATTAGAGTATAACGTGACTGTACGTGATAAAGCAGCCTGCATAAAGTTAAGATCTAACCGTGAGTACAACGGCTTCAGCCTGAATTATTATGCACACCTGAAATCCCACTAAAGGACATGAATGGCTACTTTTACATCCACTACAAGCAACAACAATCTATACTTTTTAATATACATGTTTTAATTGAACGTGAAACAGCAATTATAAGAGCAAACCTCTAAAACAACCTACTCACCGCAGAAAGTTCTGGAACCTGAAGACGGCTCATCATCGTTGGCCAATAGAAGGCAAGGCACAGCCAATCAACCTGCAGAATTAAGATTTTCTCCATTTATGGAGAGGACCACACCCGTTTTCAAGTGTGACTTTTTAGTGCCTAACTAAAAAAAGAGTGCATTTTATATATATATATATATATATATATATATATATATATATATATATATATATATATATATATATATATATATATATAACACAGGTAAATTAATTGTAATAATAACAACTCAGAGACATTGTTTACCATGTTCCATTTTGAATCTAGCCATCTTTAAGTATTATAGTAAATAAAAATGTCTGAATTAAAATAATTTTTCTGTGTGTGTGTGTGTGTGTGTGAATGATGATGTAACTATCATTTCACCCCAAACAGCGGCACCTTACTGAATATTAATTAATATTAATGATGATTACACCTGCTTAATAAAAATCTGATGATTCACTACATTAATAAATCTGACATAACTTGATCAGAAATCTAAAAAGAGGAGAAAGAGTAGGGTAAAAAAAAAAAAAAAGTAGACATCAATAGCAGTGCAATAGTTATTCTTTGTACCCAACACCTGTATTTAATAGCGACATCGTGGTCTAGTGATTAGCACGTTCGATTACGAAGCCAGCGACCCGCGTTCAAAGCTCACCAGGAAGAAATACGTTTTTTCATTTTTAGTGTAAAGACATATAATACTGTTTGGGTTACTTGTTACAACCATTACAAATGACTGGATATCTATATAGAATTAATGTTCTCATTTATATATAAAAATGTGAAGTTCTAAGGCACCTGTATCCTTGAAAAACGTGTTAGTGTGTTAGTGTCATTTGAAACTGAATTGGAAATAACGTTATTTTAACAAAATCAGTCGTCGACTGAAGTGGGCCGTTCTAAGGCATGAAACTCCAGAGATAAAAAGGAGCTCCACTCCGGCACTGTCTGTGTGTGTGTGTGTGTGTGTGTGTGTGTGTGTGTGTGTGTGTGTGTGTGTGTGTGTGTGTGTGTGTGTGTGTCTGTGTGTGTCTGTGTGTGTGTGTGTGTGTGTGTGTGTGTGTGTGTGTGTGTGTGTAACAGTTGGTGTTTCCTGAAAACAAGTCTGAGCAGACAAAAAACTGCTATGTTTATATTTGATTAATGTATAAATGTCTAAGACAATCACAAATCAGTGATTTACTGCATTGCTAGGTGGTTGCTAGGGTGTTTTAGTCGTTGCTAGGCACTGCTAACATGTTCTGCTAGGTGGTTGATAATTTCTTGCTAGGGTGTTGAGTAGTTGCTAGGTGGTTGCTAAGACATTGCTAGGCAGTTGCTAGGGTGTTCTGAGTGGTTGCTAGGTTGTTGCTAGAGTGTTCTAAGTGGTTGATAGGCAGTTGCCAGGGTGTTCTGAATGTTTGATAGGCAGTTGCTGAGGTGTTGCTAGGGTGTTCTGAATGGTTGCTAGGTGGTTGCTAAGGTGTTGCTAGGTGGTTGCAAGGGTATTCCGAGTGGTTGCTAAGGCATTGCTAGGTGGTTGCTAGGGTGTTCTGAGTGGTTGCTAGGTGGTTGCTAAGGTGTTGCTAGGCGGTTGCTAAGGTGTCCTAAGTGGTTGCTAAGGTGTTGCTAGGTGGTTGCTAGGGTATTCTGAGTGGTTGCTAAGGCGTTGCTAGGCGGTTGCTAAGGTGTTGCTAGACGGTTGCTAGGGTGTTCTAAATGGTTGCTGGGTGGTTGCTAAGGTGTTGCTAGGCAGTTGCTAAGGTGTCCTAAGTGGTTGCTAGGTGGTTGCTAAGGTGTTGCTAGGTGGTTGCTAGGGTATTCTGAGTGGTTGCTAAGGCGGTTGCTAGGGTGTTCTGAGTGGTTGCTAAGTGGTTGCTAGGCGGTTGCTAGGGTGTTCTAAGTGGTTGCTAAGGTGTTGCCAGGCGGTTGCTATGGTGTCCTAAGTGGTTGCTAGGTGGTTGCTAAGGCATTGCTAGGTGGTTGCTAAGGTGTCCTGAGTGGTTGCTAGGTGGTTGCTAAAGTGTTACTAGGTGGTTGCTAGGGTGTTGCTTGGCGGTTGCTAGGGTGTTATGAGTGGTTGTTAGGTGGTTGCTAAGGTGTTGCTAGGCGGTTGCTAGGGTGTTCTAAGTGGTTGCTAAGTTGTTTCTAGGCGGTTGCTAAGGTGTCCTAAGTGGTTGGTAGGTGGTTGCTAAGGTGTTGCTAGGTGGTTGCTAGGGTATTCTAAGTGGTTGCTAAGGCATTGCTAGGCGGTTGCTAGGGTGTCCTAAGTGGTTGCTAGGTGGTTGCTAAGGTGTTGCTAGGTGGTTGCTAGGGTGTTCTGAGTGGTTGCTAGGTTGTTGCTAGGGTGTTCTGAGTGGTTGCTAGGTGGTTGCTAAGGTGTTGCTAGGTGGTTGCTAAGGTGTCCTAAGTGGTTGATAGGTGGTTGCTAAGGTGTTGCTAGGCGGATGCTAGGGTCTTCTGAGTGGTTGCTAGGTGGTTGCTAAGGTGTTGCTAGGTGGTTAGTAAGGTGTCCTAAGTGGTTGCTAGGTGGTTGCTAAGGTGTTGCTAGGTGGTTGCTAGGGTATTCTGAGTGGTTGGTAAGGCATTGCTATGCGGTTGCTAGGGTGTCCTGAATGGTTGCTAGGCCCTTACTAAGACGTTACTAGGCGGTTGCTAAGGTGTCCTAAGTGGTTGCTAGGTGGTTGCTAAGGTGTTGCTAGGCGGTTGCTAAGATGTCCTAAGTGGTTGCTAGGTGGTTGCTAAGGTGTTGCTAGGCGGTTGCTAAGGTGTCCTAAGTGGTTGCTAAGGTGTTGCTAGGTGGTTGCTAGGGTATTCTAAGTGGTTGCTAAGGCGTTGCTAGGCGGTTGCTAGGGTGTCCTAAGTGGTTGCTAGGTGGTTGCTAAGGCGTTGCTAGGCGGTTGCTAGGGTGTTCTGAGTGGTTGCTAGGTGGTTGCTAAGGTGTTGCTAGGCGGTTGCTAAGGTGTCCTAAGTGGTTTTTAGGTGGTTGCTAAGGCGTTGCTAGGCGGTTGCTAGGGTGTCCTGAGTGGTCGCTAGGCCCTTACTAAGGCGTTACTAGGCGGTTGCTAGGTGGTTGCTAGGCGGTTGCTAGGGTAATTTGGGTGGTTGCTAGGCAGTTGCTAGGGTACCCTGGGTGGTTACTAGGCAAGCCTCACATACATGCCTGATGAAATATTTATACTTAGTGAGCATTTCTAGGAAGTTACAGTACTTGGCTAGTCAATATTAGCATGTAGCTAGTCACTGCTAGCATGTGTAGCATATAGGAAGTTCCGTTTGCTAGCATGAGTCAAACGAGCCAATCCCCAAGTCTCTACGATGTTCTGATGCCGAGATATAGCTGTTGATTAATGGTTGCTAGGGTACTCTGTTTTGTTGCTATGGGCGAGGTTACAGAGTGAACTTGAATGTGGTTGGCTGTCCAAGTCAAATGAGCCAACCCCCAAGTCAATAGGACACTGCTAAGCAAAGAAATGCATGTAGGCCAGTATTAAAGGCAGTCTATGGGACCAGTTTGGGGGCGTGGCTTGTGAGCTTCATTATCATATTGAGATGCTCATTGGTTGTCTGAGTCAGATGAGCCATCCCAGAAGTCAATAGGACACTGCTAAGCAAAGATATGCATCCAGCCCTATTATAATAGAAGTCAATGGGATCAGTTTGGGGGCGTGGCTTGTGAGCTTCATTATCATATTGTGATGCTGATTGGTTGCCTGAGTCAAATGAGCCCACCCCCATGTCTCTATGACACTCCTATGTAATGTTATAGATGTGTGACCTTTATAATGGAAGTCAATGGGATGTGCAATGGGACATCCCACTCCATGTTAAGTCAATGGGGCAGTTATTAAGGGTCTTTAAGTGGTTTGGGGGGGCGTGGCTTGTGAGCTTCAAAATCATATTGAGATGCTGATTGGTTGCCTCAGTCAAGTAAGGCAACCCCCAAGTCTGTATGACACTGCTATGTAATGTGATTGACATGTGAGTCAAGAAATGAATGGGAGTCAATGGGCAATGTAAAGTCAATGGGGACCCCTTTGGGACGTCCTAGCACCCCAGGGGTACAACTTATACCCCCTTTTGGGGTATGTTCTCATACAGGCTGCAACCCCCTACAGATGTTGCGAATCCCATATTTCTACGAAATTCACACTTGGCGCTATAACGCTTTAAAGGTCGTCCCATTTCGCGGGGGCGTTAGTGCTGTTCTAGAAAAATGAATGGGAGTCAATGGGGACAATGTAAGTCAATGGGAGAGCTTTGGGACGTCCTAGAGCCCCAGGGGTGAAACTTTTACCCCATTGCGAGGTATGTTCTCATTTAGGCTGCAACCCCCTACAGATGCTGTGAATCTCATATTTCTATGAAATTCACACTCGGCGCTGTGATTCGTCAAAGTTCGGCTCAATGTTAAGTCTATGGGATTTTTGGGGGGGTTTTTTGGCCCCTGCGGGGCCAAAAAACCCCCCACCCCTTATAAAAGTCATAGCACACCATTCCCGATAAGACCGCACGATTTGAGCCCACTTTCAAGGGTCTGGGACGAAAGCTGCGGGACTAGTTACGCGCCGAAAAATGGTACGGAAGAAGGAAGAAGAAGAATAATAAGCCAGCACAATAGTAAGAATGGACTTTGCCTATGGCAAACCCCATTAATAATAATAATAATAACTAGAATTGTACATTTCCTAAAGGAAATGTGAATGGGGTTTGCGTGGCAAATCGATGGGGTACAAAATGGTACTAAACTGGGCAAAATAGCAGTAAATGCGGAGAAATGGTTAAATTCATGTGTTTATGTGGTTGCTAGGGTAATGCAAATAGTTGTTAGGGGGCTTAAAGTGGTTGCTAGGGAGTGTCTACAAATTTGTTATGTCAGTACTTAATACCAACTTGATAGGCCAAGTAAAATGAGCCCAGTCTCAAGCTTCTACGACTTACTAATCTCCATATCAATGTCAGCCATTTTGTGTCCATGTTAAGTCTATAGGGATTTTTGGTTGTCAGCCATTTTATTTATAAATGTAAAATAAGCCATTGAATTAAAGATGTCATCACCCTTCAAAAGTCATACCTGTCCTCAAGCCGTTGTGGCTCTGCATCCATGGTTCAATAACAAATGGTTGTGTCTAGGATAACCACAATACTGGTAAAGTAGCAACATTGTTTCGCTTCACATATTGTACTTCAACATGGGTCCAAATTTGTTTAACCACTTGCATCTTACAATCATCTGTGTATCAGATGCAATTGCAAAACTGTTATGTTTAAAAATAAATCATACCATCACCTAAAACCTTAATACTTACATCATAGCACAGGTTAAAGCACATTTAGGTAGACTGTGCTTAATCTAACATATGCAATTAGCATTTGTAGTACTGAATACTTGCTTCTTAAAGTCAATAGTGATGTAGCATTGACAGACATTCAATAAAAGACAAAACAAGCTGACTGTGCCAATTAAACCAAATTGTTTATTAAATTGATTAAAAAAAAGCCTGTTGTGCCAAATCCTGTCCACCAGTCTGATCCCAGTCACACCTACTAAAATGTTAGAATAATGAATTAAGCAATAGAGCAATAATAAAGTCTACCTAATGACTGTTTAATTCCAATATGGATGTTTTTCTTAAACACATCATTGTAAATTATACTAATTTTTATACTATAATATATTATATTAATTATATATTATAATAAATTATATAATATTATATATATATATGTGCATTTAAAATGGTTGATTTTAATTTAAAACCTCATTCAGTGCACTATCACATACTGTGTACAGTGGCAGAGTTAAATTTATAAATAAATCTGCAGTTCAACCACCCTGCTAAACATAGTTTAATTAAAAATAATAAAATGACATGATTATTTGCTATAAATTGGTGCTGGGAATGTTTATTTAATAAAGACCATGCCAGCTATAAACACAAAAGTTTTGTTGTTATTATTATTATTAATTAATTAATATTAAAGTGCCCTAAGAAACTGATCTAAATGCTAATGGGTTTTATTATTTTTTTACGTTGTTTAAAGTAAAAATGTACTTTGGCCATATGTGATGATAATCAATTTTTACCTGACCTACTGTCCCTTTCTGCAAATAATTTGCGGCTCTAATCTGAGAAAAAAAAAAGTTACATTGATTTATAACAATTAATAGTTTATGGTGCAAACATTTTACTCATTAGTATTTATTAATGGCAAATATATTCAAACCTAAGCTGCATATAAATATCCTAAATTGTGATGATATGATTGACTAAGCTTTATTTGTACTCTTAAGCCTATTTTTACTTGTTTTAAATTAATTTTAAGCTCCTTTTTATTAACATTTGTATGGCTAAATTACTATGGAATCTAAGTTTAAAGATAAAGGACACGAGGGGAAGACAGGACTTGGCACAACACCCCCTGTGAGCAAGCCATTGGCGACTGTGGCAAGGAAAAAAACTCCAAAAAGTTTGGAGAGAAACCTTGGAAAGACCAGACTCAGCAAGGGAGTACCCATCTTTCTTGGGCGTGGCACATAACATAACATTTTTTAAATGTATAAGCTAATAACATTTTTAAACAACGTTAAAATTATCTAAAATGTTGCAGGACACCGTCTTCCACCATCTGGCCTCTGGATCTGGCATGCACAGACTGTATATCCTGAGGAAGAGGAGGCAAAACAGATGTGACAAAATTATTAGTAAAAAAAATATATTTTGATTGTTTGGATACTTCAGGAACAAAGAGAAAATGAGAATCACGGTTTACTTTAAAATCTAAGGTTTTACAAAGCCCATACTTCTTAAAGACAAAGCACAAGTTATGACAAGATGCACTGAACCACAAGACTCTCCTAGAAGTACTAATAAAGTATACCTCTGGTCCGTCATCCTGCAATTCTGTGGTGTGCAATGCCAAACACCTGTTCTTCTCCTGTAACCATAAGATTAATAAATCAATAATAAGAACACTATATACACAAGCACCATTAAAAAACAGCCATTAACATTCATAGTGGATGCAAAAAATACAAAGAAAGTCAATGCTGTTTTTCCACAACATTAAAGATTTTTTTTGCATTCTCAAGCATTTCGAGTTCAAGAAGCAAGCAACTCAGACATATTTGAAACGAGTAGATTATCTGTAAATGACAACTTAAAAGTTTAGGTGAATAAACACCTTAATAATGCCTCAAAGTTTATGCAGCTTAATTTGTGGAAATATTTTGTAAAAGTTTCCTTTTAGAGAGAGCTTAAACAATATTGCAAATATAATTTTTTTTAATGGCATAACTCACTTGTTTCAGAATACCTCTGTATTAGAGATGTTCTTCCTCTGGTCCATCATTCTGCAATGCCGTAGTGCGCATACACCTGGTCTTCTCCTACAACCATGAGATTGATGAATCAATAATAAGAACACTATATACACAAGCACTAGTTAGAACAGCCATTAACAATAATAGTGATGCAAAGAAAATACAAAGAAAGTCAATAGCTTTTTTTCCATAACTTTTAAGATTTTAAAAGCTTTTTATTTATTTTATTTTTCAAGTATTTTGAGTTCAAGAATCAAGCAACTCCAGTAAATGATAATTTAAATGTTTAGGTGAATAACCTCCTTAATAATGTCTCTTAGTTTATGCAGCTTAACTTGTGGAAATATTTATTTTTTACATTTCTTTTTGTAGGAAGCTTAAACAATATTTAAAATAGAATCTTTTGTAACATGACAACTGGTTTGTTTTATAATTTCAATACATATTAGTACACATACACACTACAATTAAATGGCGTGATCCTAACAGCATGCTCACCAATATATAGTTAGGCAGATGTCTTCCTCAACAATACTGCAGGACATTTGTTTTCTCAGTCAACACATCTTCTTGGGTCTTCTGGTAGTAAAAACATAAAAAAAACACAACACTTGAATGAGACTAAGATTTAACATTATGCTGAAAATGTGACTGTATTACAAGGCAGTACAAACAACTGAAACAAAATACTTAGCTTTAGATTGAATCTCAAAGAATTCTGTCCACTTTGAAAAGGCTGCTGTTGTGTTAAAGCTGTGCCTGTAACAAATTAATAATATAACAGAAAATGTAAGTCATACATTCATTCATTTTTTCGGCTTTATTAATCTGGGGCTACGACTGCAGAATGAACCGCCAACTTATCCAGCACGTTTTTATGCAGCGGATGCCATTCCAGCCGCAACCCATCTCTGGGAAATATCTGAACATACTTTTTTACTCACACACACACACACACACACACACACACACACACACACACACACACACACACACACACACTAAGGCCAATTTAATCTATACCAATTCACCTGTTCCGCGTGTCTTTAGACTGTTGAAGAAGTCGAAGCAACCGGAGGAAACCCACTCGAACGCAGGGAGAACATGCAAACTCCACATAGAAACACCAACTGACCCAGCCGAGGCTCGAACCAGCGTTGCCACTGCAAGTCATAAATTCAGAACAAAATGTCAAACACAAATACAAAGGAAAAACATAAAATAATTCATTTATTCATGCATTTTATTGTCGGCTTAGTCTCTTTATTAATCCGGGGTCGCCACAGAAGAATGAACCACCAACTTATCCAGCCCATTTTTACACAGCGGACGACCTTCCAGCCGCAACTCATCTCTGGGAAACATCTGGACATTCTTATTCACACACATGCACACACACACACAAAGGCCAATTTAACCTATACCAATTCACCTGTTCCGCGTGTCTTTGGACTGTGGGGGAAGTTGAAGCAACCGGAGGAAACCCACGCGAACGCAGGGAGAACATGCAAACTCCACACAGAAACACCAACTGACTCAGCTGAGGCTCGAACCAGCGTTGCCACTGCAAGTCATAAATTCAGAACAAAATGTCAAACACAAATACAAAGGAAAAACATAAAATAATGGAACATTTAAAAAGCCACTGTACTACTCACCAACTGTTGCTGCTGTCACTGCCCTTTGTAAACTTTGAAGATGCCACAATATCCTCCTGATGTCCCTTGCTGCTGACCCTACTCTACTCTCATCACACAGCATCCACCTCAGGTACGACACACCGCCTTCACGCAACTGTGCACACACCACCAAGTAAAAGACGAGTGGCTGATAATCAGGCTCTATCCAGGTCTTTTGTCTCCCGGTTCTGTGTGGCACACTGACTTCATGTCAAAGACGTAGGCCAATGTTCGTTTCTTTGTGGTGGCCATGGAGATGAGCTGTTTGTATAGTAGGGATTGGAACAACTCCAGAATGGGCTTTCTTCCAGACAAGAGGTGGTCTTTGGTGAAGTCTCCACAGACAATTATGGGATTCTCCATCATTTCCAAATAATTAAGTAGGCCCATGATGTTTGGTGATGGTGTTTTATGTCCTCTATATGTGATGGGAGTCCCTCTGCTTTATGATGCACAACGATAAGCTTTTCTTTCAGACTGTTGTTGGTTTTTTTCCAGTGAAAAAGTAGCATGATGCCTTCCAGCGTTGCCATTTTTTGTCCTCTCCAACGTGGTTGTGATTTTTGACAGCCGATTGCATGGTCATGCCTTGAACTTTGTGAGTGGTGCATGCGTAAGCCATCTTGATTGGAAATAGTTGACAGACTGCTTCTTTTTTAAGAGTTTCCTCTGATCTTTTGATGTAAAGTGTCCTCTTCACCTTGCAGTTGTTGTCGTATGTATTTCTGGCCAGCATTTGGATTGTCGACTGATTTCCAAGCATGTGCACAAATGCAAGTCTGTATTTTGTTTTGGTCACAATGTTTCCAAAGCATCCATTGACAAGTCCATCTTTGACATCCACATTTTTGATCAACATTATGCAGACTCCCAATCAATGCAACTTGTATGGTGCCTAGCAGGTTGTCTTTTTTTACCCATGACAGGGTTAGTTTGCTTTTTCATCCATCCTGTTCTTGCATCTTGCACACAGAAACACCAACTGACCCAGCTGAGGCTCGAACCAGCATCGCCACTGCAAGTCATAAATTCAGTACAAAATGTCAAACACAAATACAAAGGAAAAACATAAAATAATGGAACATTCAAAAAGCCACTGTACTACTCACCAACTGTTGCTGCTGTCACTGCCCTTTGTAAACTTTGAAGATGCCACAATATCCTCCTGATGTCCCTTGCTGCTGACCCTACTCTACTCTCATCACACAGCATCCACCTCAGGTACGACACACCGCCTTCACGCAACTGTGCACACACCACCAAGTAAAAGACGAGTGGCTGATAATCAGGCTCTATCCAGGTCTTTTGTCTCCCGGTTCTGTGTGGCACACTGACTTCATGTCAAAGACGTAGGCCAGTGTTCGTTTCTTTGTGGTGGCCATGGAGATGAGCTGTTTGTATAGTGGGGATTGGAACAACTCCAGAATGGGCTTTCTTCCAGACAAGAGGTGGTCTTTGGTGAAGTCTCCACAGACAAATATGGGATTCTCCATCATTTCCAAATAATTAAGTAGGCCCCTGATGTTTGGTGATGGTGTTTTATGTCCTCTATATGTGATGGGAGTTCCTCTGCTTTATGATGCACAACGATAAGCTTTTCTTTCAGACTGTTGTTGGTTTTTTTTCCAGTGAAAAAGTAGCATGATGCCTTCCAGCGTTGCCATTTTTTGTCCTCTCCAACGCGGTTGTGATTTTTGACAGCCGATTGCATGGTCATGCCTTGAACTTTGTGAGTGGTGCATGCGTAAGCCATCTTGATTGGAAATTGTTGACAGACTGCTTCTTTCTTAAGAGTTTCCTCTGATCTTTTGATGTAAAGTGTCCTCTTCACCTTGCAGTTGTTGTCGTATGTATTTCTGGCCAGCATTTGGATTGTCGACTGATTTCCAAGCATGTGCACAAATGCAAGTCTGTATTTTGTTTTGGTCACAATGTTTCCAATGTTTCCAAAGCATCCATTGACAAGTCCATCTTTGACATCCACATTTTTGATCAACATTATGCAGACTCCCTATCAATGCAACTTGTATGGTGCCTAGCAGGTTGTCTTTTTTTACCCATGACAGGGTTAGTTTGCTTTTTCATCCATCCTGTTCTTGCATCTTGCACACAGAAACACCAACTGACCCAGCTGAGGCTCGAACCAGCATCGCCACTGCAAGTCATAAATTCAGTACAAAATGTCAAACACAAATACAAAGGAAACACACAAAATAATGGAACCTTTAAAAAGCCACTGTACTACTCACCAACTGTTGCTGCTGTCACTGCCCTTTGTAAACTTTGAAGATGCCACAATATCAACATTATGCAGACTCCCAATCAATGCAACTTGTATGGTGCCTAGCAGGTTGTCTTTTTTACCCATGACAGGGTTAGTTTGCCTTTTCATCCATCCTGTTCTTGCATCTTCCACACAGAAACACCAACTGACCCAGCTGAGGCTCGAACCAGCATCGCCACTGCAAGTCAAATTCAGTACAAAATGTCAAACACAAATACAAAGGAAAAACATAAAATAATGGAACATTTAAAAAGCCACTGTACTACTCACCAACTGTTGCTGCTGTCACTGCCCTTTGTAAACTTTGAAGATGCCACAATATCCTCCTGATGTCCCTTGCTGCTGACCCTACTCTACTCTCATCACACAGCATCCACCTCAGGTACGACACACCGCCTTCACGCAACTGTGCACACACCACCAAGTAAAAGACGAGTGGCTGATAATCAGGCTCTATCCAGGTCTTTTGTCTCCCGGTTCTGTGTGGCACACTGACTTCATGTCAAAGACGTAGGCCAATGTTCGTTTCTTTGTGGTGGCCATGGAGATGAGCTGTTTGTATAGTAGGGATTGGAACAACTCCAGAATGGGCTTTCTTCCAGACAAGAGGTGGTCTTTGGTGAAGTCTCCACAGACAATTATGGGATTCTCCATCATTTCCAAATAATTAAGTAGGCCCCTGATGTTTGGTGATGGTGTTTTATGTCCTCTATATGTGATGGGAGTTCCTCTGCTTTATGATGCACAACGATAAGCTTTTCTTTCAGACTGTTGTTGGTTTTTTCCAGTCAAAAAGTAGCATGATGCCTTCCAGCGTTGCCATTTTTTGTCCTCTCCAACGCGGTTGTGATTTTTGACAGCCGATTGCATGGCCATGCCTTGAACTTTGTGCATGTGTTAGCCATCTTGATTAGAAATTGTTGACGAACTGCTCCTTTCTTTAGAGTTTCCTCTGCTCTTTCGATGTAGAGTTAAGTGTCCTCTTCACCTTGCAGTTGCGTATGTATTTTTGGCCAGCATTTGGATTGTTGGCTGAATTATTTAGGCAAAACACAATACACTGGATTGTGATAGCTATAGTAGGTGTGTAAAACACCTGACTGCATGCACAAGTCTGGATGAGAAACATAAATATGATCCAACAGTGTTTGTTTCTCTGTGGTTGCATTGGTGATGAGCTGTTGGTATTGTTGGGATTGGAACAACTCCAGAATGGGCTTTCTTCCAGACGAGAGGTGGTCTTCGTTGAAGTCTCCACAGACAATTATGGGATTCTCCTTCATCATTTCCAAATAATCAAGAAGGCCCCTGATGTTTGGCAAAAATTTTTCCAGACTATAGTCTGGTGGCCTGTACACCGCAGCAATTGTTGCAGTCACTGGTGCATCAACTTTGATGACGACAAACTCCAGGTCGGTGACGTGGTGTATAAAGTGTCGAGGTTCCGCCTGAATGTCCTCTTTGCAATAAATTGCAACTCCACCACAGTCCTTCTTTGCCATTTCTGGAAGGGTTGAGTAAGACGCATGTCTATTTCTTGCAAACATCTTAAAGCCTTCCAACTGGACATGTGATGAGATGCATGATCCGGAGAGGTGCGTTTCCGTAACACAAAAGATATCACATAGAAGCAGCTCATGATGGTGTTTGATGTCTTCTATATGTGATTGGAGTCCCTCTGTGTTATGATGCACAACAATTAGTTTTTCTACCAGACTGGTGTTGGTTTTCTTCCAGTCAAAAAGTGGCATGATGCCTTCCAGCGTTGCCGTTTTCATCCTCTCCAACGAGGTTGTGATTTCCGGATCAGCATAGATCTTTTTTTCATCAAAGTCTCTGATGTACAACCCACCAAGTGAGGTTGTTCGGCTGAGGGCAACATAGGCCATTCCTGGCTCAAAAATCCTCTTTAGTGATACTACAGCCGATTGCATGGTCATGCCTTGAACTTTGTGAGCAGTGCATGCGTAGGCCAACTTGATTGGAAATTGTCGACGGACTGCTCTTTTCTTTACAGGTTCCTCAGATCTTTCAATGTAGACTAAAGTGTCCTGATCACCTTGCAGTCGTCGTCTGTATTTCTGGCCAGCATTTGGATTGTCGGGCTGAATGCCAAGCATGTGCACAAATGCAATTCCGTCTCTTGTTTTAGTCACAATGTTTCCAATGTTCCCAAAGCATCCATTGACGAGTCCATCTTCGACATCCAGATTCCTTATCATCATTATGCGGACTCCCACTGCAACTTGTATGGTGTCAAGCAGGTCGTCTTTATTACCCATGACAGGTTTAGTCTGTCTTTTCATCCCACCTGTTCTTGGGTCTTTCCGGTAATCTTCAGCATGAATGGTTATGATGTCAGCATGAAGAGCATTTACCGTGTTACTATTGTGACTGTGGACTTCCTTGTTGGTTGCAAATATGTGCAATGCATCACGTGGGCAGTCTTGGGGATTCCTCACAGCTTGCAATAACAAAGCTCTATCTTCTTCTTTAAGAGCATCAGATTTCCGTTTCACTCTCAATCGGTTTAAAAGCTGGGCAAATGCAAGGTCCTCTTTCTGCCGCATGATCTCTGTGAGGGTTACGATTTGGAAGTGGTCCTTCCAAAAGTCCAGCACATCCTCTTCGTAAACACAGAGTGGCTTGGCTTTTCCCGGGGGCGGTAATTGATAAAAGTCTCCCACCACGATGACAGAAATGCCCCCAAATGGTTTCTTGCTGCCTCTGATCTGTTGAAACCTCCAGTTGATGTATGCAAAAAAGTCTTTTGAAATCATAGAGATTTCGTCAATAATCAGGATTTCCACGTGACGTAATCCTGCTCGTACATCATCAAGAGAGTTCCCAAGTCCTTGATAGGGTGGCTTCAAGTTCCTTGGCAGCTTTAGAATGGAATGCAGAGTTTTTCCAGAAATGTTAAACGCTGCTGTTCCAGTGAATGCACTTAAAATCACTGTAGGAATGGAGAGATCCCCATCCTCCCGGAGCTGAGGAAGTTGTTGCAGAATCTTCGTTGCTTCAGTGTATACGCACTTGATTACGTGCGACTTTCCACATCCAGCACCACCTGACACGAAGTAAAAAAACTGTTCTGGATTCAGTCCCCACACACGGTTCTGACACCACCGCCGAATGGTGTAAAATATGGCTGCCTGTGTCTTGTTTAAACTCCTAAAGAGCTTCCTGACAAACTCGACACTCATCTGTGGCGCCACTATGCGCGGTGCAACTCCGTCGCCATCTTCATTACGAGGCTGGAATTCAGGGACCTCATCCTGTTCGTCATCTTCCTCTGGACCGACGTCTTCTTGTTCAGCTATGCATTCCAGGCGATCCACTTCAACTTCTGGTGCAAAAGCTGTCCAAGCACTCTCAGATGGTCCTTCCTGCTGAAGTTGTTCAAATGCTTTATCTACAACTTTGCCATGCTTTTCATATCTCTGCTGGTATGCCTTTACTATGCCGCAGACAGGGAACCGGAGACCAGGATGTCCAGGAAGTTCCACAAATCCGCTTTTATAAAATAGCTGATATGTGGGAAAATCCTCAGGTTTTAGCTCTTCATTGTGGCGATGGGGAACGTAAAGTTTCACCATTCTTCCATAAAATTTTTCTGGTTGCTTCTCCTCTGAAAAGCGAGCATATCTGATAACTGCAGGCTTGCCGATAGTCCTCTTTTGAATAAATCCCATATCGTGAAGCAGTCGGAGGACATTTTTTCCTTTAATTTGTTGACCGTACACAACACGGTAATTGGATGCAAAGTCTGCAAGACACATTTTTTCAAACTCCAACGTTAGAGGTCTTGCTCTATATTTTTCTATTAAACCTGACATCCAGACGTCCTCCGATTCAGGATTTTTGTTCAGCAACACACTTATGGGCAGACTCATCTTGAGGGCATCGTCATCCGTCGGAACAAACACGACACTTCGTGAACACTTCTTCAACGGCAAGCTGCATGTTCGCGCCACAGACTCCTGAGCACTTACTTGCCGGTGCTTGGCATAGGCTTGCATTATGTGCTTCATTTCATCCTCTTCATTAACGTTGGCTTCACGAACACTTTGGATAACGTTCTTAAGAAAGCCACTCATTTCATGCTCCGGCTTTGAAACGTAGGACAGCATATACATGATGCAGCTGTAAGCGTCTAGGATGTACTGAATATCCATGTTCGCATTCCACGCCCTGAGCAAATCAGGATTGTAGCCATTCACCCAAGTCTCCTTTGGATCACGCTTCAAAAGAACTGCACTGCCAGTGGTGAGTCCTTCAGCATAGTTCAGGTAATCGTCCATGGACAAATTGCACTTGGTTAGAAGGTCTGACAAATTGTTGAAGGAAGATTTGGGATCATTCAGCAAATCCCACAAAGGCTTGAGTTTTGATTTGGCTTCATTCATTGCTTTTTTAGCCTCATCTCGCCTTGCTTTTTTCTTGGCTGCTGAGTCAGTCGGTTCATCATCCCCCTCATCAGGACGCTCTGGCATCGGATGAGTGATCATGGTCTTAGGCATTGGTAGTTTTGGAAATCCAAATCTACACACCACCTTGCCTTTCTTGCATGACTTTGAGTGGTTTTTGCTATGAAGCTGAACCTCTGTCACAATCTTATGAAGCTCAGGATCAACATTGGGATCTGGAAGCTTGCAAGATACGTAACGGTCGATGAAGTCACATATTGTCTCATCATTGTCTTCCTCTGGATCTGGGGCATCCTTTACCCAAGCAAGCAGATGAATATGTGGGCTTCCTCTTGCCTGAAACTCCACTCTATAAAAGAAATCCTCCACTTCACCAATGGGTTGTGCAGGTGACAAAAGCAGGTGAGCCATTAATGCATCTACACGCTTCTCAAACATGC